CTCAAAGAAAGTGACATCCATGGATACAAACTTCTTCCCTGAGACAGGATCATAGCAGCAATAACCCTTTTGAGTTTGTGCATAACCAAGAAATATGCATTTGGAGGCCTTGGGTTCGGACTTGGAATGATGGAGACCAAGAAGCTGAACAAAACAGGTACAACCAAATGCTTTGAGGGGAACAGTGAACAACTCCTCATCTGGGTATAGAAGGGAAAAAGGAGACGACATATCAAGAACCCAGGAAGGAACCCGATTAATAAGATATACCGCCGTGAGGATAGCATCAACCCAGAAGCGAATAGGGACATTGGAGGTAAACATAATGCTTCTAGCCACCTCCAAGATGTTCCTATTCTTCCTTTCTGCAACCCCATTCTGCTAAGGTGTATGAGGGCAAGTGCTCTGGTGAATAACCCCATGAATAAGAAGGTCCTTTGCATTATCAGACCTAAGAACTTTGATTTTGGCATCAAACTGGGTTAGGATCATTTGGTGAAAGTTTTGGGTCAAGGCGGGAACCTCATCTCGTGAACGCATAAGATAAGCCCAAGAAAACCGGGTATGGTCATCAACAAATAATAGAAAATATCTGTACTCACCCATGGAAGGAATGTGACATGGCCCCCAAACATCCATATGCACAAGATCAAAAGGACGATTGCTCCTTTTATTGCTCAACGAATAATAGTGTCTACAATGTTTAGCAAACTCACAGCTTTCACATTGCAACTGGGACAACTCAACAAACTCAAACAAAKTAGGAAAYAGACTCYTTAAGGACCGAAAAGACAAATGACCCAATCGGTTATGCCAAAGCATAACCGAACTCACACTCTGGGAAACAAGTGACTTCTTATCCCCCGACTCTTTCCGACGAGAACTCTCCCCAAGCAGATAGATCCCATTCGTCTCACGGCCAGTCCCAATCACCTCTTCGTCTTCAAGTCCTGAAAAACACACCGGTCAGCAGTTCATGTGTTTGGTAATACTACTAACTGAAAGAAGGTTAGTATCAAGCTTAGGGACATGTAAGACAGAAGACAAGGAGATGGTATCCGATAGCTTGATGTCACCCTTGCCAGAAATGGGGACAAGAGAGCCATCAGCAATAGATACTTTATCMCTACCAGAAGATAAATGATAAGTGGTAAACAATGAAGGCAAGCTAGTCATATGGTCGGATGCACCTTAACCTATTACCCAACAGGGTTCAATGGTGCCTGAAGCTGAGGCATGGCAGGCTGAGGCTCGAGTACCTGAATGTGTGGAAGCAAATGTGGCGGGGGCTAATGGTGACTGCGGTGGCTAAGCTGAGTTCCCAACTTCCCCTTCCAACTATATAAGAGCAGCCCGAACTGCGGCTAAGGTCTCTAAGAATGTGCCTCTTGTGCTAGACGAGGATGCTGAATTAGTATGCACTGCCACATGAATGTTACCCTTCTTGCTTCTTAACTTTGYCGGGACCAAATAAGGATGTAGCTTCCAACATGTTTCTTTTGTGTGTTTGGGTTTCTTACAATGCCCACATACCACATAACTG